GTGACTGGACTCCAAAGCCGTTATTGACAAGAGGTCCTCTCTTCTATTTTCAGTTCCTCTAAATGGGCTGGAGGGAGAATGGTCCACCAGAATTCAGCAGCCTGTGCTCACTCTCTGAGCGAGCAGCAATAATAATAATGACCCAATTTTACTAAGGACTTAACCTGCGCCTAATGTGCGTTGTCCTACTTAAGCCTCTAAGTGCCTGTTTGTATTCCGATTTGACAGAGGAGCTGAGGGAGACATCTAAGGGGTCTAAATCACCTGTCCAAGGTCACGTGCTGGTGGTACCCCGTTTTGGTCCTGTCTCTTAGAGACAGTGTGTTTCTACCAGCAGTGCTTTACTGCTGTCCAAATTCTGGGGGACCCTGCTGCTATCTCCCCTTCTTGGAGTTCCCCAGATGTCCCCACTGGCAAAGCAGTCCTGTGACATTTGTGAGTGCAGCTGACACCACCCCCCCCAGCCACAGGCTCATATCAAAACAAGGCTGGTCAAGGCTCCTAAGGCCACCTAACACAGCATGGCCAAACTCAGCCGCATCTCCCAGCCCTGTGTGGTATGGGAACAGAATAAGGCTCAGCCTATTAACCTGGAATGATTATCACAATTTGGTTTGGATGGCCCACTTCCACTGAAGTATAGCAAGTTATGGTGAGGGTCTCAGAAAGTGCATGTGTGTCTATCTATAAATTCCTGCGCTGGATATACATAGAGCGATGTGTCAGTTTCTCTGTGTATGAACACCCTGGGGAAGAAAATAACCCGCTGATGGGAGGCACCGTACCCATACACGAAGTTGACTATGAGTCTGGAGATCGTCTCTGCTCCCAGGCTGATGGAGGAGCCCACCGGGCTGTTTTGGCTGGTCTGTTCCGCACTGTGCACAGCTCACGGACACCTTCGCAGGGAGTGAGTGGATGCCTCGAAGCCACAGGCAGAAGCCCCGTCTTAAGCCTCCTCACTGGTCTTGGCATCATTTGGGAGACAGTGGAGCTGTTTCAGACGAGCCTGGGCTAAATCAGGGGGGCTGGACTCTGTGCCCCCTTTCACCCCCAGCAAGGGAGTGCTGTGACTCTGGGCATTTTCCTCATTACACTGACCAGGGGGCAGAGTGTGCAAGTGCTGGTTCCTGGCGGGACGGAAATGCATGCTTTTGCCTGGGGTCTAAGAGGAAGTACAGTCCATGGAACTTTGAGCAACACCCGCTCTCTACTCAGCGACAGTGATATAAAGGTTGAAAAAAACCCTCAATAATGATTTCGTCCTAAATGAAATCTTCATTGCTACCACTGGCCCCCAAAGGGCAAAATGTTATCTGTAAAGGTTAGAGTGAAAAGGTTACTTGGCTTTTGGAAAATGACTTTCACCAATTAATTAATTAGCTGTTAATTAGTTAATATTCTCCCTCATTCCAAGAGAGAATTTGACGCAATTTATAAAAATACATGACAGGCAGAAACTAAGGTTGGAAAAATGAGCCAGGGGAAAGGCAGCATAAACTAATGTGTACCCTCAAATTCTGTGCTCTGCTTAGAGATGCTAGAAAGTCACATAGAATGACACGAGATAGCGTTTGCTTTCTCCATAGCCAAAAAATAGAAAAAAAATAAGCTATCAATCTATGTTAACTTTTATTTGAAAAGACACTGCTTTCAAGATGAACTATCCATTGCATATGACTAGAATATATTTCCTAAACATCTTTGCTATATTTAACCTCAAAGACGGTGTTCTAAGAGAAATTTGCTACGATCGCTTTTGTATTCAAAACAGAAAAGAGAATCTTGAGTCCATTCAAAATTTATATTGGAGAAATAGCATTATGATACTCTTTGGCAACTTCTAATGTTAGCAATTGGCATTTTACTTCCTATATTTACTTCCCGTAAGATAATTTGACAGTTTGCAAAATATAGATCATGTCTGCTTCTTCCCAGTGAGTCCCAGGAAATCAGTGAATGATATATGTTTTTACTGTTTCTTCTGTTTTTGTTTTTTGTTTGTTTGTTTGTTTGTTTTCGTAGTCAAGAGGCAGATAGTAGAAAGAGCTCAGTGAAGCTCCTTAGATTTAGGGGTATCTCAATTCATGCACTAAGCCACAACTAGTTTAGTGATTTGGTTGCCTCATGTAACTCTTTTGCTCTCTGATTTCTCATCTGTTAAACCAGGGTAAGGGATTTAGTTGGTCTTTAGCTGCCTTTTCTAGTCATAAAATTCTGTTGTTTTCAATTTTCTGTCATCTAGAGAATCCATTAATGTAAGCATGATTTTTAAATATCTAGTTATATTTCAACTGCTATAGAACTTGCGTGTAAAGAAGAATACAGGGCATTCTATTATGTGGGGTAAATCAATAAAATGAAAATGCATCCATTGACAACGTTTGTATTTTCACCTATTACAGAGCTGTGCCATCTCTTTGAATACAATACACTTTTATGCCCCATTAAAGCATGCTTGACATAGCTTTCAACTACTTGCAAATGCTGAGGAGTTGAAAAACATAACATTTACAAAAGATACATCTGGTGCATATTTATATGACTTGGAATAAGGAATCATTTAAATACTGCTGAGCCATCTCCATATTAGGAGAAAAGATATTCCATGTCCATATGTGAAATCGGTAGTAAAATACATGTAGGTTTAAATTTCTCTTATGCATTTTTTTTACTTGACACATGTTAAAATATGGAAATATTGATTAGGGCTTAATTCATCTATTTGAGCTGCTGCGATTGCTTTTCCCTTGAATTTATAGATCACATCATTAAGTCTAGTTTATATTCTAGAGGAGATGAGTTTTGAAAGGGGTTAAAAGTAGCACTTTCTACTTAGAAAAGTTGCTTTTTCAGGTGCAGGAATTGTTAATCTGGGGATCACGGACAAGTTCAACGTCCAGAGATAAGCTTCAGGGCTCTCTGAACCTCCTGGATTTATACGCAAACATTTGTGTGTGTATATCTGCATGTGGTTTTTTTTTTTTTTTTTTCCTGGTAAAAGCCTAACTCACAATAGTGTCTTAAAGAGGTTTATGATCCTGGTATAGTGGAAAGACTTGATATCCTAAGAAATACTTGGGGTTACCTCTTACTAGTTGTTTAACCTACCCTCCGTGGCCACCTGTCTTCTGCAGGTCTTATCTGTAAAATAAAAGGGTTGCCCTAGATAATTTCGGATGCTCTTTTCAGCACCTGTATTCTGTAGTTCTAAGTGGTAGACTTACCTCCATCTACCTAAATACTTAAGCTCTAATGCCATCAGAATTTGTTCTACTCTGTGCATTTATTTTTAGGTTGTTACTGTGGAGTTTCTGGGTGGAGTAAAGGTGAGTTATGCTGAGCAGTATGCAGGGCTGCATACGTATCAAGTTGGGAAAAAAGAACACCTAAATTGTACAGCTTTTCTAGAATGCCATGTGGTACAGCACATGAAATATAACTTGTACCCTCCAGCTCACACACACTTTAATTAATGTTATGGGCTGTGCTTTAAACGGAGAGAAGTGAGAAAACCAAGGTTAAGGACGCTCTGTTCTTTACTATGTAGAAGGAAAAAAGAGACAGCTATGTAAATTAAGGATTTTGTATCTCCTTGTCAATTTCTTATCTGTTGTCAGTTCGAATGATTTCTAAATCAGAAGAATGCTGAAGATCTGTTTTCCCATCAATTTTGAGCCTAAGGAATTTGGAGCTGGAGTTCTGAGCCAGGAAACAGTCCTGTTTTGAATTCAGAGGCCCTACTGCTGAGCAAAGATGCCAGGCTGATGATAAATTCCAAAAGGTTCAGCTTGATATCTCAACCCCAGAGGTCAGAGAGGACTCTTGGAGTGGGCAAAGGGAGTAGTAGGGAATCTGCAGTTGCAGCACTTGGGAGAAGCGCAGCTCAGGCAGGCTTGGGTGACATGGCCCACTGGGAGAGACCCACCTTTCCTAAGTGGAATACTGCAGTGGACACTGCCGGCCTCAGGCTAGAAGGCGTCTCTGCATTTTTATATATTTGACTTGGTGTATCTCCAACATCTAGAAGGCTTTCTAAATTTCTCACTTTACAGTTAGTTATTATGATGTTTCACAGGCCAAACCTCCAAAGCTGATGTGATCTATTGTGCAAAATTTCTTAATTTGAGAGGTATTGATTGGGCAGATTCTCCCACGTTATTATTTTTTTGAGCCCGTAAGATCAATCATATCAGTGTGGCAGCTGTGTGTGCGGACTAACTCCACAGGCACACCACAAACCAGATTCCAACCTCGGAGGCAAGCGCTGACTCCCACCTTTCTATCCTTGTCTCTTTCCCCAGATATTTTTCTCTATTGCAGATCTGTTAAAACTCTTTCAGTATAGCAAGAAGCGATAACTTTTTCTGAGTTCAAAGCCCCATGGAGACTATTTTTCAGGGAGGATGGCTTGAAAGTGTCCTGTAGAACCAAGACGGCTGCAGTCATGAACTTCATATGAAGTCCGATTTAGCTCATATGCATTATGATGTATCCTGATGACACTAGGAAACCAGAGATTTATTTATTATTAATTAGTGTATCAAATGGTTGACAGAACTTTTCGCGACCAATTGAAATGACAAAAAAAGACACGATTAAGGATTGAAATATCACAGACCAAATTTCGACGGGGAAGGAAACAAAAAAAAATTTTTTTTTCTAAAGGACCATAACTCTAAAGCTCCAGAGCATTGTCAAAACCAGAAATACATCCTGCCCTGAATGTTTCCTTAAGCAATTATGTTATTTATCTGCCTCTTATGGTTATTTACCTTGGTGGAAAGATGCGTTGACTCAACCTGAGTACCAAGCAACCCCAGGAGGTGGGAGGGAGGTCAGAGTAAATTTGGCTAATGATACTGTGTTTTCGTCTTTGGAAGGAAGGGAAGTAAAAGGCTGATGCTTATTACTGATGCCATTGCGTCTCCACTGAAGAGATCCGAACGACCGCAGCTGTCCTGGCTGAGAGCTCTGTGTTCTGTCCTCTCTGCTTTTCCCGAGTCCTGTCCCCAGCCTGGTGCAGGAACTCCGCGCCTTGGTAAATGACACTTGAGCTTTCTACTCGGAATATTCTCCCGGGAGCCTTTTTGAGATTATCGGTAAAGCAAACCACAGTGAAACTGAATGACCTGCCATTGATAACGTTAGCTGGTTCAGGTTTAACTGTAATTCATTCAGTCAATAATATATCTGTTTGTTTTGTGTGCATAGACACAGAGTAAATAGTATTTTACTTCAGTGTCCTAAGGACCTTGGGAGATGAAATGAAGTGTGTCCAAAGCACCTTAGGAAAAGCTGCCTTCCAGGTCGAAAGTATCCTTCCCTTCACAGTGACTCAGTGTTGCTGTGCAGCAGGAGGTCATAAGACATCCCATGAAATGGAAGGTGACAGAGAAACAAACAAAAAAAGATCTCTGGCACTCTTTTGCCATGGACTTTTTTAAGTCCCTTCCCTGAGGTCCTGGTATTCCTACTGTAATTAACATACATTGTTTTGATTCAGAAACACCATTGGTTTATCACGATTTTTTTTCCAGTTGGATAGTATTGTTCAGGGGGGATGTAATTCCATCTTGGAGAGGTTATGATTTGCAGAGGTGAGAACTGAAATCTTTCGGCTTGGGTTTCTTAGGCTGGTGTCCACCTAGAGAATATTTTCTTATGTCTCTTGAACTTCTGTATTCATTTCATTAATTAATTAATTTAAGTGAATCACTGGGCAGTTTTTTTTCTCACCCCCCCCCAGTTTTATTGAGAAATAATTGACACGCATCCCTGTCTAAGTTTAAGGCATATAGCATGATGGTTTGATTTACGTAATTTGGAAAATGATTACCACAATAGCTTCAGCCAACATCCATCTTCTCATATAGATACAATAAAAAGAAAAGAAAGAAGAAAAAAGGAAAAAACTATGTTTTTTTTCTCTTTGTGCTGAGAACTCTTAGGATTTACTCTCTTAACTTTCTTATATGTCATACAGCTGTGTTAGTTAGCTATAGTCATCTTGTTGTGCATTGCATCCCTAGTACATATTTATATTATAACTGGAAGTTTGTGCCTTTTGACCACCTCATCCAATACCCACCCTCCACCCCCCATCCCAGCCTCAGGTAACCACAAGTCTGATCTCTTTTTCTATGAGGGCTTTTTTTTTTTTTCCTTTTTAGATTCCACATGTAAAGGAGATTGTAGAGTATTTGTCTTTCTCTGCCTGACTTCCTTCGCTTAGTATAATGCCCTCAGGGTCCATCCATGTTGTCACAAGTGGTAGGATTTCCTCGATTTTTTTTTATGGTAAATAATATTCCATTGTGTATATATCACAGAATTTCTTTATACATTCATCCATCGACAGGCACAGGATGTTTCCATGTCTTGACTTTGGTAAATAATGGTGCTATGAACATGGATGGGGGTGCAGATATCTTTTTGAGTTAGTGTTTTTGTTTCCTTTGGATATATTCTCAGAAGTAGAATTGTTGGATCATATGGTAGTTCTGTTTTTAATTTTTTGAGGATGCTCCATACTGTTTTCCATAGTGGCTGCACCAATTTACAATCATACCAGCAGTGTGCAGAGGTTCCCTTTTCTCCACATCAATGCTAGCATTTGTTATCTTTTGTCATTTAGATGAGCATGAGGTGATATCTCCTTGTGGTTTTAATTTGCATCTCCCTAATGACTAGTGATATTGAGCATTTTTTATGTACTTGTTGGCCTTTTATATATTTTCTTTGGAGAAATGTCTGTTCAGATCCTTTGCACATTTAAAAAAAATGGGTTGTTTTTTGTTTTTGCTATTGAGTTGTATGAGTTCTTTATATACTGTGGCTATTAACCCTTTATCAAATATATGGTTTATCAATACTTTTCCCATTCTGTAGGTTGTCCTTTCACTTTGTTATGGTTTCTTTTGCCGTGCAGAAGCTTTTTAGTTTGATGTAGTCCCACTTGTTTATTTTTTATTTTGTTGCTTGTGCTTTTGGTGTCATATGCAAAAAATCATTACCAGACCCATGCATGTCAAGGAGCTTTGTTTTCTTTTAGGAATTTCATGGTTTCAGGTCTTACATTTATGTTTTTAACTCATTTTGAGTAAATTTTCGTGGGTAGCATAAAACATGGATCCAGTTTCAGTACTTGTGAATATCCACTTTCTCTGGCACCATTTACTGAAGAGACTGTCTTTTTCCATGATTATTCTTGGCTCTCTTGTGAAATTTTAGTTGACTGTATATGCATGGGTTTATTTCCGGGCTCTCGATTCTGTTCTGTTGTTCTATTTGTTTGTTTTTATGACAGTACCATACTGTTTTGATGACTATAGCTCTATAGTATAGCTTGAAATTAAGGAGTGTTATGCCTCCTGCGTTGTTCTTTGTCAAAAAAAAATTTCTTTTTTTTGTATCTGGGATCTTTCATGGTTCCATATAAATTTTAAGAGTGTTTTTTCTACTTCCGTAAAAAATGTCATTGGAAACTTGATAGAGATTGCATTGTATCTATAGCTGGCTTTTGGTAGTATTGACATTTTAACAATATTAATTCTTCCAATCCATGAACACAACATAACTTTTTATTTATTTGTGTCTTTGATTTCTTTCATCAATGTCTAACATTTTCAGAGTAGAGATATTTCACCTACTCAGTTGAATTTACTCCCAAGTATTTTATTGTTTTCAATGTTATTGTAAATGGGATTGATTTCTTTATTTCTCTTTCAGAAAATTCATTGTCAGTGTATAGAAATGCTACAGAATTTTGTATGTTAATTTTATATCCTGCAACTTTACTGAATTCATTGATTAGATCTGACAGTTTTTTGATGGACTCTTTAGGATTTTCTGTATATAAAATTATGTCATCTGTCAATATAGACAGTTTTACTTCTTCCTTTCCAATTCTGATACCTTTTATTTATTTTTCTTCCCTAAGTGCTCTAGGAACTGGAACAGGAGTAGAGGGAGTGGACACTCTTGTATTGTTTCTCATCTTAGGGGAAAAGCTTTCAATATTTCACAATTGAGTATGATGTTAGCTGTGGGCTTGTCATATATGGCCTTTAGTATATTGAGAGATGTTTCTTTTATACCTAATTTGTTAAGAGTTTTTATCATGAATGGATGTTGAATTTTGTCAAATGCTTTTTTTGCATCTCTTCAGATGATCATATGATTCTTTTCTTTCATTATATTGATGTGATGGACTGCATTAATTGATTTGTGTATGTTGAACCATTCTTGTATCCTAGAGATAAATCCTACCTGATCATGGTGAAGGTGCTGCTGAATTCTGTTTCCTAGTATTTTATTGAGAATTTTGCATTTATGTCCATCAAGGATACTGACCTGCAATTTTCTTTTGTAGTAGTGTCCTTTCCTGGTTTTGGAATCACACTGGCACTCATAAAATGAGTTTGGGAATGTTCCCTCCTTTTTGATTATTTTGGAAAAGACTGAGAAATATTGGTGCCTCAAAAATTGATTTTTGTAATTGGTCTATTCAGATTTCCTATTTCTCCTGATTCAGTCTTGGTAAATTGTGTGTTTCTAAGACTTTTCCCATTTCTTCTAGGTTGTTTAGTTTGTTGGCATATAGTTGTTCATAGCAGCCTCTTGTGATCCTTTGAATTTCTGTGCTATCATTTGTAATGTCTCATTTTTCATTTATGATTTTGTTGATTTGGTTCTTTTCTCTCTTCTTCTTGGTTAGTCTAGCTAAGGACTTGCCAATTTTGTTTAACTTTTCAAAGAACAGAGTCTTAGTTTGGTTAATCTTTTTTTTTTAAAAAATTTTATTATGTTATATGTTAGTCACCATGGTTAATCTTTTCTATTGTTTTTCTGTTCTCTGTTTTATTTATTTCTGCTATAATCTTTATTATTTCCTGTCTTTTGCTAACTTCGGGCTCAGTTTTTTTTTTTTTCTTTTTCTAGTTCCTTAAGGCATAGAGTTAAGTTATTTATTTTGGGGATCTTTCTTGCTTCTTAATATAGGTGTTTATTGTTATGAACTTTCCTTTTAGAACTGCTTTTGCTGCATCCCACAAGTTCTGATATGTTGTGCTTCCATTTTCATTTGCCTCAAGAAACTTTTTTATTTCCCCTTTAGGTCTTTTTTGATCCATTGGTTATCAGGAGAGTGTTGTTTAGTGTCCCTGTGTTCATGAATTTTCTAGTTCTCCTCTTGTTCTTGGTTTCTAGTTTTACGCCATTGTGGTCAGAGGAGGTACTTCATATGATTTCCATCTTCTTGCATTTGCTAAGATTTGTTTTGTGGCCTAACACATGGTCTATCCTAGAAAATGTTCCATATGAGGTTGAGAAGAATGTGTATTGTGCTGCTGTGGATAGAATGTTCTGTATATGTCCATTAGGTCCATTTGGTCCATAGTGTTGCTGAAATCCTCTGCTTCCTTATTGATTCTCTGTCTTGATGATCCATCTGTTGTTGAGAGTGGGGTATTAAAGTCTCCAACTATTATTGTATTACTGTTTATTTCTCCTTTTAATTCTGTTAGTTTTTGCTTTATATATTTAGGTGCTCATATGTTGGGTGCATAAATATTTATAATTTTTATATCTTCTTGATGTATTGACCCCTTTATCATTATGTAATAACCTTTTTTGTCTATTTTTTCCATTTGTAGTTTAAAGTATATTCTGTCTGCTATAAGTATAGCTACCCCACTTCTTTTGGGTGACATTATTTGAAATGTTTTTTTCTATCCCTTCAATCTTCTTCTAGCTTAAGGCTAAGGTAAGTCTCTTGTAGGCAGCATATTGTTGGATCTTGTTTCTTTTTATCTTTTAAGCCATTCTATGCCTTTTAATTTCAATGCCTTTTAATTTCATCTATTTGTATTTAAAGTAATTACAGTTGATATTTGAACAATGCAGGGGTTAGGGATGCTGACCCCCTGCATAGTCGAAAATCAGAGAATAACTTTTGAAATTTCCAAACTTTGGGCACCTGGGTGGCTCCGTTGTTTGTCTGCCTTCAGCACAGGTCATGATCTCATGGTCCTGGGATTG